TGTACAAATTGATTTTAGAAGGCGAATCTTCTCAATGAAAAGCGTTCACATGAGAGCAGACAAAACCTACACACAAACTTAAGCAGCTTGCCTAACTAGTGCAACACCAGGAAGAATAATTCAGTAAAATTCTCAATGCCGCATCTTTGGATGCATGTACAGAAGCTCCTGCTGAGTCAAGGCAAGGACGTGCTAAGTGCTGTTTTAATAATTAACAAAGCAACCCTAAGCACTGTGGAGTACACACAAACACAATGCCTCACCAAGATCACTACTTTCTCCCAAACTTTCTGCAACGTCTTCCTAACAACCCCCAGACCGAGCTGCCCAGCCTCAGGCTGTGTGTGCTCCCTTACACAGCATCACTGGCTGCCCACGAGGTGCCCAATGTCCTCCCCCCTGCCTGGGCAGGCTGAAAAGACACCTCTGCTCACCTATTAACCACCAATTACGAAGAATTTCCAGCACCAAGAGCTGCACACCAGCCTCCCTGCTTTGAACACTTCCCCTGTTTTTCTTTTGGTTTAGAACATATTTTTCACTTTCTAGGCATAGATTAAAACTTCACTAATTTGGGCACCACAACTGACACGCTTCCACCTCGTTTACAATAAGGAGCTGCAGTATCTCAACGCCACCCCAGTTTGGGATAGCAGCTCACAACTGAGGTAGACTTTTGCCTATGCAGTTTGTCTGATGCTACTGAAAGCCACTGTTGCCCCTTTATTGGTCTCCAACTCTCATATACTAAACCAACATTAGGAAGAGGTAAACTCAGAATGCAGCAGGAGACCTCTGAAAAGATCAACAGTTCCCCAGGCTCATATTACCGATTTAATTTAAGCAATGAATAGATCCTTTTAAATACTGTATTTTCACATGCACCAATTGCAGGTTACCTGTAAAATTCAATAGCAGTTCGAGTGCTGTGGGTTTTCAGGGAACATTCAACCCATTACACGAAAAACTCTCCTTCAATAACATCCAACCTCAAATCCTCACCTCTGGCATACATTGATTCTGACGCTGTGCTGCTTACTCAAACAAATAGTCTCAAATAATGCATTTTAAAAGGGAATGAGTTACCTGAGGTACGGTTTAGATATCTGAGAAACATGGTAAATGCATTCAGATTTGGCTCCATAATCACACCCACTATTTACTATGATTTCACAGAGGAATTCTGGCTAGGCCTGAACAAGACCTACTCCATCACGAAACAAGGGGACTACATCTTACGGATTGAGCTGCAGGACTGGAAAGATAATAAGCGTTACATCGAGTATGCATTCACCCTGGGAGGCCCTGAAACAGACTACGTGCTGCAGCTCTCACGGATCTCTGGGAGCATCCCCAATGCACTGCCAGAGCAGACAGAACTGCGCTTCTCAACTGCAGACCACGATATGGCTGTAATAAATGACCTCGACTGCCCACAAAACTACCTAGGTATGCTGGGTGCATGAATGTGGATGTTCCCTTGCTAAATGAAGGATGGCAGTATGCTTTAGTGAGTGCTTACTGATATCTGGCTGGCTTTAGAAGCAGAAAAGAGACAATAGCTGCCAGAAAGAGTGGGAGATGCTTTTTGTTGGGCTGTACAACAATGAGGTATCACTTTTCTACTTTACAGAAGGGAAAAGAAAAGCAGAGAGAGGCTGAGTAAATAGCCAGAGTTAGAACCAGCAGAAGTGGCTGAAATAAAACCTAAAGCTGAGATAGTGAGCTATGGAGTACAGCTCCTTCTCTAAAGCCCGCTCTGCTGTGGCAGATTTCTTCCCTTCTTGCAAAAGAGAAGAGGACAAATTGACTCTTAGATCCATTTTGACTACAAGCCAATAGCTAAGAATAGAGGCAAGCTTCCACTGAAAGGAGGACTTAAGCTGCTTGTCAAAAGTGTATGCTAAAATTGCTCTCAAAAGAAGAAGAGAGGTGTGAGGCTAAAGATATATCTCTCCTCAAAGATGATTTGTTTAAACATTTCCTAAATTCACTGATGTTATGAAGCTTTTACGTTTTGCTGCTTTGCAGAAAAAAGCAAACAATGCAAAAAAGCAATTAATGATTAAACTGCAGGATACAGAGTGCCCTGCCAGGCAACTGCTTCACACAGCAAACATTTTGTTTCTAGCATTCTCAGTTTGAAAACTGGGGATGTCTGAAACAATGTTGAATGTTATAATCTGTAGTGGACATAACACAGATGAACACTTTCAAAATGCTGTACTTTTATATTTAGCACTGAGCCACAGCCAGTCCCTTACCTCTTGCCAGCTGAACTGGACTTCCAGTTCAAGATGGTGGTGAAGGACCTTGGCCAATAAAAAGTGATTTGTTTACTCCTGTAGATGCAGTACTTGAGAAAAATATCAGTAAATCAATAAGTCTGTTGTGGAGCTTTATGGGAAACTATATGGAGCAGACCCAAATGTCCCAGTTCAGTGGAAGCATTTGTGTGTGAAGTTTTCTATGCACCACTCCTTCTTTGTGAAGCAGCCACTAACAGGTAGCACAACATTTGCACAGTGGCCTTCAAGTGTCAAGCATCAAGTGGCTCCACGTACAAGCAACATTTCATTTGGGTACACTGGGTAATTGTCACTTTTGCTGGAACTGGCCTAAAGATTGATGTTGCTAATGGGAACTGTGTACTCAAGCTGAGCACAATAGGTTAAGGAACAACTGACAGTAAATGATATTACAATATTTTTTTCTCAGGAGGCTGGTGGCACAGTGAATGTGAGGAAACCAATCTTAATGGGAAGTATGTCGCACCAAGGTCAAAAGGAAGACTAGACAGAACAAAAGGCTTATACTGGAAACCTAGGAATGGAAGATACTACCTGCTCAAGTCAACCAGAATAATGATACACCCAACAGATTTAAAAATTTTTGACTGAATGCTCAACCAGATGCATTTCACAGCTAATACACTGAGCATCAAAGAAATTCCTATTATGTTTAATATCAGATGTGTGTCCAAATCCATACACTGTATGGTGCATTCTCCAATGACATAAACCCTGAGGCACATATGATGGTCTTACTGTATGTTTGGTGAGTATTCTCATTCATCCTAGCCCAAATGTCAGTGTGTTAGAAGTTCAGAAGGGCTTTCATCTCTCCAAGATCAAACCCCATTGCCTAGGGAACAGATGCTTATCTATTTATTAGATAACATTGCTTGGGGGAAAGGGTTTTATAGCTGCTGTATTAACTTCTGGGCAGTGCAGGAGGGTACAGGAAGTGTTCAAGCAAACAGAAAGTGCTGGCAAAGTACTGCAGAGGACCTGTAGGTATTGAGACCGTGGGAAAAGAAAGAAATTGTGCTTCATACAGTAACTGATTAAATGTTTGGTTCAATTCACTGCTGTTGAATGCTCCTATGAGGAAATGAAAGATGAGAAACTCCCTGTTTTAGGGTTCTGTGTATTTCCAGACAATCTTTTGGCAGTGTACGTTAGGCCAATTTTTGCTGAAGTACTGTACTCACGCAGCTGCAGAGATGTACACGCACATCAAGTAAGCCATGGTGTAGACCTAATCTCTTAGATATCACACTTCAAAAAGTAACTGAACCACCCTTTGAAACTGAAACTTAAGGGCTAAACTTCAAAGCTCACTGAAAGGAGTGGGAGATTTTCTCATTTGAAACAGCTTCAGACCCATTCCTTTGTGACCCTTCAATACATCTCACTGAGAACAAGACTAAGAGAGCACAGGACAAAACGACTTTCAGAAGACAGCTGAGTAACCTGTGCCTGTGAAGTCCATGGCACCATCCAACAAACCCTGCAGGCCAACCTGTGTGCTGCTGCTCCTGAAAACATTCATATTTGTTTAACTTCAGCTGCAGAAACCTCCAAGGCAGTAGGACTGTCAACATGTTTACAGATGGCTTGATGTGGAACTGTTTATTGACAAAGACCTCAATTCTGCACTTATACTGAGTCATATTGACTTGTCTATTTTACCTTGTACAGCATGGATTTTCTATGTCAACATTTGCAACCATACAAACAGTGGTTTTAATACGTGATTTGTCAGGGTAAAGAAACTGAACAGAATGTGCTAATCGCATAGAAACTGCAAGGATGCTACAACTTCCTATGGATTTACTGCAAAGCAGAAAACACACAGTGCTGTGCATTTGTACTGGAGTACTGTAGTGTATAATTACCTAATTTCCACCAAAAAAAAAAAACAAAATCCAACAAAAACCACAATAAATTGAATTTCTGAAAAGACATGAGGTGTGGAACTTAAACTCTTTCTTGTAAGCTCTGTTTTCTAAAAGCCTCGTCTGTATTTATCCAATTTCAACAACAAGAACTACTGATTTTGCAAGTTAACCTGGTGAAATTACTCAACTGAAGAAGGCACTGTCCCTCAGAAGTGTATCATCTTCAGTAATACAGTGAAAAATCTTTAAATTAATAAAGGAAAATAATGAAATCTGCTCCTGCCTGCAGGATATGGCTATAGGAAGGTTATTGTTTTCTGAAAATGCTCAAAAATATTCTTCCAGATCTTTATTTTGTTAAAGCATTGTAAACAAGGAAATTGCTTTTAAATCAAAGTGGAAATACGAATGGATTATTCATTTCCCTCATTTTTTAACCTCCACTGTAAATTAAAAAAAACAAGCCCTGGAAAGTAACAGAAAGCAGCAAAGCCAATTAGAGAACATTGCCTTTAGCACAAAGACAAAATGAAAAAGATCTGCATAAATGTGGAAAGAACTCCACCAAGTTTGACTTTGTATCTTGAGAAACTAAGAAAGCTGTGCCACCCTCCTGCCTACAGCCAAGTTTTACGCAACTATGTTAATCCCTGCACATCTGTGTATTTTCTGCTGTGTCAGTCTGGACCCTTCCTGTGTCTCTGGCACAGCACAGCAACTGATGCAGCAAGTTTTGCAACAAACCAGCTGATAAAGTAAGAATCTCTGGACCTGCCATTCTGAGGCCTTGAAATGTGAGACGTATTTCAAAACTAACCTGTATGTGGTATTTGGAACGTAGACATCTCTGGCAGGAAACTCCAGGATTTCTCTTGTAGGTCTAACTCTGCTGTCTGGGTAAAGTTTCACTTGCAGCAACTCTGGAGTTAGACAGTAATGGGGATTCTCTGGAGCTGGAGATATGTCTATCTTCAATTGAGCTGTAAGAAGAAAATGATTTAATTATAATAAATAGAAGTGAAATATACATCAAAAAGCATAGTCACACTTTCTTTTGCTATGGTTAATACCCAGACTTCATAAGTAAACAGATTACAGTTTATGTGGATTTAAGAAAACAAGAACATGTAATAGTGAATCAAACTGGTATCTAGGAGAATCAAAGCACTGCATGGTAAGAACCAATAGAAAAGAGACCTCTTAACAAATCCCAGATGCTGTTCTCATGGCTAAGTTAAGGAAAGTCTAAATAATGTTACTATGAAGCCCATCTAGCACTAAATCTTGGGAATCTTGCTTATCAAACTGAAAAGGTGTACTAGGAGTTAATGAAAGCTAATCTGCAAGAAGATTATTGAACATCCTCCTTAACAAGTCAGCAGGCAGTACTGACAATACACATTATGTGCAGATGTCACCGAGGTTGGAATGATTTTTGAACATTTGGAAGACAGGAGAGGTGGAAAAATGGCATCAAATGATGAAGGGGAAACACAATAAAGAGTGAAGGGCGAAGAAAGAGAAGCTAAACATATAGATTAAAAAAAAAAACCAACAACCAACAATTGGCATAGATCAGTTCTGTAGAAAAGTGCTGGGTGACAACAGACAGTAAGGCAGTGTCCCAAAGGAAGCTATAACCATTAGGGAATGACAGAATCTCCTGAGTTGGAAGTGACCTGCAAGGATCACTGAGTACAACTCCTCAGACTTCAAAGACACTGGAGACAAATTCGTCTGCTGTGGACAGATGAAGTCTGAGAAAGAGGAGAGCACTCTGTTCAGAGCACCAGACTTAAAGAAAACCATGGATAGATTCAAGGAACTCCAGCAGAGTCCACCAAAACAACAAGCAATTTTAAAATCACAGCCCTTGAGAGAAGGTTGAAAAAAAGCCCCAATGGCTGCAAAATGGACGCAAGTAAGAGTGAACTAATAACAGCATTCAAAGTATCTGAAAGGTTGGGATAATTCCCCCCTAGGGCATGACATACCATGGTCAGGTTACATTTCAGAAAGATAATTTTGGGAAGTTTTCTTAATACCTAACCTCACCACAGGGACTGGTGAGTGCTGGGAGATAAGATCTAAGGAAGCAGCAGAACTGCTGTCACAGGGGATTTTCAAGAACGGGTTAAGTAAATATTGTCAGGAATAGCACAGGTCAAGGACTGGTGATGTTTCAATGCTGGCATGCTAGCATTTCTACTTTTCTTTCTCAAATAGAGGTGGAGCCTGTTCCTACTGACCAACTGGAAGCCAACACACACCTCTCAGTTGGTGAATGGCGTTTTATTCAGAAAAAGAGAAGCCCTTCAGCCCTTAGGGAATTTAGGGCTTTGGGGTTTTGTGTCCTCTGCTCACAGATGCTACTCTCAGTGTGGCAAATGCTGCACGTGCTCATACATCAGTGAAAACACTGTCAGATAAAAATGCTGTTGGTCCACCAAGAATTATTGCCAACAATCTCCTAGGGCTTCTTTCGCATGCTTGCTTTTAAGAACTGTGTAGGAACTGGGAAGGACTAACCAACATGCTTAGTGAGCACAAGCCAGAAAGGTCTTGTTCAATACCTGTGATAGGTCTCAATCTCCGTAACACTGATGACGGCCGTCTCATGTCAGCCAGGAACTTGTACAAATCTTCATCACTCAGGCGATCACCCTCCTGTCGAAGAGATTATGTGCACAACTCTCAAGGACTACAGAAATATGAATAAACCATCAAATGCACACTGGCCTCTTACCTCTGACATCAAAATGTACCTTCACAGAATGAGGTGCTACATTAGCATGCTGAATTACTGCTAATTTCTTCATCCCTTTTCCTTTCTTTTCTTCTTATTAATCACCATGACAGCTGCAGGAGCTTTTCATTGGAAACCTTTTGTCTCCTCATCAATATTATCTTTTTTAAAACTGAGAATAGTTGTTAGAAGATTTCCCTAAAATATCCATTTTTTAGCAAGTATAATAGCTTGAAAAAATATCCATCATTCCAATGGTGATCCTCCTTCCTTTTCCTCTGCTTTTCCCTCAGTATGAGTCTGAGAGTCATACTTGACAAAAGCATTGTTAAGAAAGGATGGGAAGTGAGAGGACTTTGTTGTCAATCTTCCCTGCATCACATTCTAGTAGTTCAAAATTTTGTTATAACATTACAGAAAATGTCACCTTGCTACCTTCCAACTCTCCAAAAGTAGAAGACATCTGATAATAAAGGCAATAAAACAAATTAAGAAGAAAAAAGCAACTGGAAAGAGAAAATGTTCAGTGGTATTTGGTTAATTGTACTTGAAGGGATTAAAGGATACAAGACAGAACTAGAAGTTGACATCCTTCTAAAAGGAATTTCCTGGGCTGTTCTGTGTCACTGAGGCTCTAAAGATACCATTTGCAGAGCCCAATTTCAGTTATGCTGAGTTTCATGAAAGCACTCAGCAAAAGAGGTCGTTCATTTACATGCTTTCCGCCAGTATAACTTCAAACCCTGGATTACATTTCTCCTTCTTTATATTACTGAATTTAAGAGCAGAATGTGACTGGCTTCCCACAGTGAAACTGGCATACAACCAAAACAGTCAGAAAAAAAAGAGAGCTTAATCAGCTTTCAATATATAGAACCCACATCTTTGTAATCCCAATGACCGAGGAATCAGTCCAAAAAATATCTGGTTGTACACTATTAAATCCATCTTATACACGAAGGTGACATTCAAATAATAATTTTCCTTAACCAGATGTGGCATTAAGCAAACCTTAGGGAAAATTAATGAACTGAAACCATTTTCTAAGCTTCACTATAGATTTTATTCTGTTTAATCATATTTTCTACTGTTTTTCAGGAAAATCCCAAGCTCCGGTTAAGAACTGCCAATCAGCAAAGAAGCATGAGAAATGTTCTGATGTTTTGGGCATCACTGGATGTGCCGACTGCAAATTACATTCATGAACCTGTTTCTGAGCCCTCCAATGGGACTGGAAAGGATTCTCTGTCATCCAATGAAACCAACAGCATCAAGCAAGCATCAGGACAGAGGCTATGCAACTCTTGGACTAAGGACTACCTGGAATACTTTTTGTGACATACTAACCCAAAAAGTTATCCTCAGCTTTTGTGCACTTGCTTTTAAGAACATTTTGCTAAATATGTTTACCAAAAGGCCAAACAGTGATTGTCCCAGCACACAGTAGAACAACCTGGAGCAAAACACACCAACATTCTTCTGGACCATTTCTATTAGAGTGGGTAACTCACTGTGCCATAATGATGATTCACTCTTCAAGCAAAAACAGCGAATAGTTTCAAGTTCTGAAATGTAAATTACTCACAGTACACTTCCTGAAAGAATCCACCTTTCAACTGCAGACCTGCTGGTGGCAGGATGAGCACACAATCTAATAAACTCACACTATGTTGCTCAAAGATACGCCACGATGAGGGAACAGACATTACATACTGAAAGTATCACAAAGAACTTATTCAGATCTAAACTGATTCCTCATGATCCAATCACTCTGTACAAGAAGCAACTTTTTGCTTTGATGGTTTCATACAGTACCTGCTTAAAGAAGTTTGTCACTGTCAGAGTAGCTGGTCTGAAACTGGTCAAATTGCAAGCCTCATCACCGCTTGTGGTTCTCTCTAACGAACGCCGCCCAACGATACTGGAATTCCTTCTCTCTGACCACGAGCCTTTGCGTTCTTCAAAAAACAAAATAGAAAGGGAGAGTAATTAAAAAGAAAAAAAGAAATAAAACAACTGTCCAAGAGCCTACCTTTGTTCCAAGCAGGATTTTCTACACAAGAAGATAGCTGCCGCCTTTGGAAATTATGCAATAAGCGTGATAGAAGAGGTGGTTATGCTAAGACAATCACACTCCTGAGGCATCAGGAGGCTATGAAGCACAGCCAACTACTTCTGCTCCTCTCACAGCAACCTCACCCCAGTGCCTTACTGCTATTATAAAAGTCTTTATCTTGTGGAGATTTATGTGTTTCCCTTGCTCTGAAAGATGATGAAGTTGGCAGTTTTGGGGATGCTGAAGAGCAGTTTCAGATGAGCTGTGTGGTTTGCAAAGATTAATCCACTCCTTTGGAAAATGTTCATCAGCCTGTAACACTCTCACACTTAGAAGCCTGGTTTTAAATAATATAACAGATGGTTTGCTTGTAAAATCCTTGAAAGATAAATCCATTTGTTACCATGGACTTCTCTGTTTCATTTCAACCATGACCTGAGACTATCGGAAGGCCTAGGGCAGGGGGAGAAACGGGATTAAAGGAGCAATGGCAGACACAGGGTGTAAATCAAGACTTCCTGACACTCTGGATTTGTCCACGCTCACTTATACAGATGCCACACACTTTACCTCCTGTGCCAACTTCTACTTCTGTGGAATCTCTTTCCAAACTTCCAGCACTGCTCACAATGTTCATTAAATGAATGGCTGTCCACGCAAAAGGCATCCGATATTTGCCCAGTCTTTGGCAAAACTGTTCTGCCTGGCATTTCAGTTTTTCCAGCTTTTCCTTATTCTGCGAAGAAAAGATTAAACCCAAGAGTGTTAAAAAGAGTGGTACAGAAACAAAGGTTCATTTCACAAAATCACTACGTAACAATGGCATCACTATGCATTATGCAGGCTTCTGCTTCACAGAACTGCAATCCAACCAACAGCGCCAGGTACAGGACAACCTGACATCCAGAGCAGCTGACTCTGAGCTCTTCAGCTTCCTCCATAGCCTGCACAATCCCTGTGAGCTCATCTGCCCCACCATCCTTCCAAAAAAACACAAATTTTACTCTATGAAGTCTGAAATGACCTCTCTTAACATGATTTCATGCAGCAGGCGCCCAGATCACCTGGAGCCAAATGGGAAGCAGAGAATAGTCCTCAACTAAGCAGTACCATATTCATGCCACTAAGAAAAAGGGATATGAAATGACTGCCACAATTCTGCATTTTAAGCAGCAACTTTTTGCTTCAATTTGTTAAAAAAAATCCACTGACAGAGAGCTCAATAACAACAGGAAGCTGTGCTACTTGCACCCTTGTAGTTCAGCACGTGCCCATGCACCTCGCTGCGAAGGAGACCTTCATCACCTTTTCACCTACATTCCCTGCAAATGCAAAGCCTAAATTTCATGTAGGCACATTCCAACTTGTCAAACACAGGAAACTGAGAGGTTTTAATTTCTGTTTGCTGAATACCTCAGGTGAAAGATAGATGTTTTTTTCAGTGTGGTGCAGTGACACAGCTTCTTCAGCTAAAGACAGGTTAGAACTTTAGCAAGGCACAGCTTTTTTAGTGTTTCAGGGCTAGCCCAGGCTATCCACTGCATTTTAGAAGACAATGCCCAAACTGCCAAAGAATTAAAGGAATGTTAATGAAAAAAATAGAATACTAAAATACAGATTTTCTTATCTACCCTTACTATGTGTAAGAACAAAAGCTTTACCCTGCTGTTGACTGTTTAGAATATCAACAAAAAGAAAAATCAAGAGAAAATAGAGGAAAAACAATCAGAACTGCAGTGCGACTCAAAACCAGATTTGATGGAGAATCTCCTGTTAATGTATTTTATCAGTTTATAATCCTTCTAGAGCAAGGGAGAGGTACTATAATGGAGAGCAGCAGCAGACAAGTTGAAATCTTGCTGCACATTCACATCTAAGCCTGCCTAAACCACAAAGACATCTAAACCATCTGACCAAGCTAAAAGCACAGAGCTGATCCTTTGGGACACAGAATTACAGATGACTGAGCTTGATGGTAACCACACATCTCCTCTGTCACCTACAAAAACTGATGACCTTTAACTACTCTTTCCCTGTGTGGCATCAAGATTCAAGGGTCTTTGACTCTTTGCTACCTTTTAGAATTTGACAAGTTCCTTAATTAAAAATGGATCTTTTTAAAATAGGAGCAACATCAATGATCCTCGAGATCAAGGTGAAAGAAAACAGTGTGACAGCGTGCAATTTGTTAGCAAGAAAATACCTTAAAATGCTCATAGCCAAATTTAATCAAAACATGTAAGAAAATCTTACCTTTGCTGCATCGGATTCTTTAAAAATCATGTAAGGCTCAGCACATTCACCAATATCTCCCTGCTGTAATACTTTTTCAAGCTGAGAAGGGAAAATGAACCATTGTAAGAACATGTATCCAGCAAGCATTGTTAAATTAAACAAACACGAGGAAACAAAAACATTCTTTCAGAAGAGTTGAAGCTTGATTTCCCTTTGTGTGTCAGGAACAACCACTGCACTCAATCTGTTAGAGCCATTAAGTTCCCACATTTCCAGCTATAATTAAATCAGAAGAATAAAATACAGTTTCAGAGGGAACATACACCAGTTCACTTCAGTTTAGTACAGTTCTATAGTTCTAGAGCCACTTTCAGCTCATTTTTCAGGTCTTACAGACAGCCTGCACTGTCACCACCATCATCATTTACAGAAGACTGTTCTTATTTTGGGTTTCCTTATTAAGGAACTCCTGCAGCATCACAAGAAGCTCACTTCCATTGTGTTAAGACACATTGTGTTAAGACACACCATTCTAAATCAATGTGCTTTCAAATCAAATAACAAATTATAGCAGCCAAAGAGTACACATTTTCTTCTGAAGCCTCTGAATAAGTCAGTGCCCACTTAGCAAGAAACCCAGCTTTTGATAGAAATTCCTTCCCTAGCACAAGCATGCAGACTGCTTCTTTTTAGAAGCATCCTGGCACTGCATTCCATGCTTGCTACTGTGCACATGTTATTGTTATTGTTAGACTACAGCAGCCTTAATGCTCTCCCACACTCAAGAAGTGCCATTTGCACTCATCAATCACTAGAGGCACAAAAAGCCACACAATATAAAGAACAAGACCACTTCCTTTCGTATCTCACACTCTCTAATGAGTTAATGCCAGCAATAGTAGCTGTACAAAACCAGGATTCACAGTAAATAACAAGAAGTCCCATGCAAAAATTCACCTGGATAAGCACACCATGCATCTGCCTTCTTTATCCTGGACTTTATCAAATCATCAAATCAAAAAATCACTTAAGTAAATCACTACCAGCTCCTCTTGGATCACTGGTTTTACAAGCACTGACGTGCAGTCACAAGCTCTTTTGGACAGATCTCCATTTCAGAAACACAGGGTTATCTCAACCTCCTATCTTGTGAAAATCAGAAAATCATGTGTGTAAGACATGATTTTTAGAAGAAATTTAGAGACAAAAAAAAGGAAATCAAATTATTCCCTGAAACACTGACAGCTTTTTTCTCATCTGGGAATTTTCTGTCACGCTAGAAAGTCTTACTTCACCTTCAAAAGCTTACACTTCATGTAAGATGCAGTTCAAGAAGAACTTGTACAAACTCATCAAAAAACGCTGCTAGAAAGCAAAGTATCCACTGTCTGTGAACTGAAAGTATGCATCAAAATCCTCATTAGGGTAGGATAATATTTATGCAGAGACAAATTCAAATGCCAGTCTGACCTCATAGCATTTCTGTGCTCTTTCAAACAAATGAAAAAAAAAGAGAAAACTTCAATCTTTGTATACTTTATTCCAGCAGTGACCAATGTCGTATTTAATTTCAGTTATGGATCACACTTTCTCAGCAATTCAAATCTGTAAAGATATTTCAAAATCTGACTTAAGGGCATATGCCTTTCTCAAAGGAGATTCTGATTGAGATATATTTTAAATGATTCATTTCTCCATCATTTTAAGAAGGCTGCATGTCATTTCACCTGAAAACCAAGGTCAGATTCCAGAAAGCTGCTCTGTATCAAGCAAAGCTATGCAGTTTCTGCTCTTTTTCAATAATAATAATGTATACCTCCACTGAACTGCTCCTGTTATTAAGGAACTCTATGTGCTAAGTGAGAGGATTTGAAAGAAAACAAAAATGTGTTGTTCCAATGTTTATAATTCTGAGAACAAAATACTGCTTTGCAAGTGTAAGCAACAAGTTGGGGAGTGACCCACACTTGGTTTTACTTTAATATAAATCGAAGTGACAACAGTAATTAAAATTTCTCAAGCATTTCTTACCTTTATTACCAGAAACACATCTTGAGAGGGATAGGTGATTGAAAAGATGGCAGACCTGGCCAGTGTGGATATAGCAGCAGGGGGGACATGTGGACGGAGCATTCCCTTCATTTGTTCGGAGTTTAAATCAAAGTAGAAATTTTCTGAAATCTGAGGAAGAAGTTGGGCAGAGTCAGCATCAGTTCTTCCTATTGTCTGTGAAATCCTCACCAACATCACGGGTAATTCAAGACACAAGTGAAAAAAAAATACCTACAGCATCTCGTTTCTAATCCATGCATGAAAAGATAAGTATGGCATAAGAGCGGGACAGTAGGAAAAGAGAAAAGAAGAAGAGAAAGTTAATATAAGTTTTGTCTTCCTCCTGTAAGATATGCAGTTCCAATCACAGGATTAGGAAACAACTGCTATCTGAATTGAAATATCAAAATATTAAAATAGAAAATGATCTTCTGGACGAGATCATCCTGCAGGAGACGGAGAGATCTTCACACTGAAACACCAAATCCTCTACAGCATCAAGGCTTTGTTCAAGGCCAAAAGGAATGTGAGCTGGTTATCAACACCAGAGGTCACTAAAGAACTGACTAAGAGAAGGGAAAAAATGGAGTAATGAAATGATAAAATTGGCTTATGAAATGTGATTTAAATATTAAACAAAGTTCACATAATATTCCGCATGTTCTCATCTACACAACTTAAAACTCAATGCATTAAATTCAAGTCTCAAAGAGATAAATGTCAAAATGCATATTTTTAACATTTTTCTCTCTGCTATTGCTAATATCTTGAATTAGGAAAACTAAGAGACTCTTTAAATATTAAAGATAGAACATAAATAGGGAATAAATGGATTTTGTATCTCCTAGAGCTCAGACACTGAAGACTGCTGAGTTTTGTTTCAATTTTAGCACATATAACTTTCTTGTGCATTATTAGAACGTTACTTGGACACACAGCCTGCTGAATCTCAAAGAAAAGAAAAAGAAAGTCATAAAAACTTAAATAACTGAAACCTTTTATTGAGATTAAATTCTCTCCGGGGAGAAGACTTCTGAAAGCCAAGATTGGAAAAAATATATATACTGATTTCAGGCACTCACATATTAAATAATATTTTTAGAAAAGTAGTTATACTTCAACTGCTTTGCTAAGCAGAAGGAGAACACGTAAGGAAGTTCATGATGAAGTGCCCTCATCGCTCTTTCAACCACTTGTATCTCACTGTCCTCCTGAAGTGTCTGCTTTCAGAAAGAAACCCCTCTGTTTTATAACACAATCTGTAACACCCAGGCTGAAATGTAAAGTAATAAGAAACATACCTTTTTCTTTTCTTTAACATCATACAAAGCCAAACTTGCAAAAATGGGCTCAATTTCTATCTCAAACCTTGAAAGAAAGAAACGTATAGAATCAAATGACTTGCATTTTGTACCAAAAAACAACAATGTACACACTTCCCAAATCCTGCCTGGGTAAAGCGACCACCAAGCACTGTTAGTTCAGATATCAGGAGCAGCAGAGCCAACCTAAAGGCTTCCTGTGTTGAAAAGAGGGAGGTCTCACTCCCCTTTTCCCCTCCACTCCTCACCTGTCCTCGCTCCTATACAAAATTAAGACTGAAATGCAATTCTGCCTGCACAGTCAACCTATGCAACTAATGTTGAATCCACAGCAGCATCCCCTAGCACCTTGTGTTCAGAGCTCTGCAGGCTGGAACCCTTTCTGCCATCAGGCAGAACAACATATAGGGCTGTATCATCAAACAGGTATTTTCTCTAGTTCTAAAACAAAAGTGAGATTAACTTGAAAAGGAGCCTGCTGATGTAATTTTACATTGAAAAGTAATCTTTCTCTTTTACCCACATTTCTCTTTAGAGTGAAAAATTCCCTGGGGAAGAGATTACACACTTCTTGTGCCATTAAGACAGCACAACCTTGGATGCTAGCTATTAAAATGATAAATAAAGTTTCAGAGATTACTGTGGTACACAAACAAGCATGTATTTGGGCAGATTAGATATAAATTTAGAGTCAGCTCAAATAGCAGAAATCATAAATTTCCAGAATTTAACTTATTTGTGCTACAGACACCATCCTTTGGAGAGGAAGCTCCACTGCTACTACATATTATGTTGTTCCAGTTCATAAAAGGCTGCAAAATCAGTTCATCTCTACGGCTATATTAGGTCCTGGATTACTCTACAAGCAGGAGATATGTCCCACACATATATCTCAGTTATGAGCTGCAATGTAGTCTAACTGGGGCTCTCTAATAAGAAGGGTTGACCTAACTGAGGACACAGAAGATGAATACAGCAGTGTGGAAAATCAGTTTTGTACTTTATTTCTCCAAGGGAATAACAGTAAAATTTTACCTTGTGTTATTAGAGAAGAGTTATAGGCAATGAACCAGCTGCAGGTAACCCTACATTCAGGAGCTCCACTTCATTAAACTTGTTTAACAGGTTTCTATTCCTTCAGTTAATGCTTGCTAAGTATATAAAGTCTTCACTCTTAAAGGGACACAGTCAAGGTTGTTGAGCCTAAACTTCGACGAATCTTTGATTTTCTAACACTGTAAAGTGTTAACCTTATGTTTTTAAGGCTCAAGCACTTTTAATTTGTTTTTCTTGCCCCACTTACGTATCCTTGTTACAGAGCTGAATACCAATGGCTGGCCAATTGCAGAGCCCTACACAAGCACAGCCAAGATGTATGCTAGCAATATGGGACAGGTTTAACTACAGATTGGCTGAAAAAGAATGCAAAAAAAGCCAAGTAGAGTGAAAATCTTCTATGTCAGACCAATACAAAGGAAGTCTCAAAGATAAAATCATCTGATGCACATTACTGCATATGTTGCACTTTAGAGAATTAACCTTTAAGCCCATGACCAAATCAAAGTTAAAATGTTTTAAGGATATTAAACAAGATGGCAGAGTTATCCCAGAAGCATCTGGATGTAACAGACTTAAATTCTCAATTTCTATAGTGTAGCTCTTTGTTGGAGTGATACTTACTTAAGAGACAAACACTTCACCAGGAGTCTTTGGCCAAAGTGCTCTTTGGGTACTTCAGGAATGCTAAGTCGTTCTATAGGCTCCTCCTGAAATGTACACAGGAACAGCAGTTTAGAGCCAACACTTGCACAAACCACTAATACCACTATGACACAAGTACAAGTGCTGCTTTTTCCTTCTAAGACACTAGCATCAATCTAACCCAAGGTTTACCAATGTGATGCATGCAGCAGCAGCCTCTAACACACTAAATTAAATCCCTCTAATGTTTCTACATTACAGTGATCAGATATCCATAAAGGGAAATGAATCTTCAGAAAGCAGCATGTATGTAACATACCGAAAAACTCTCAACTCCTGCAAACCAGCTAAGGTTCTCATGGAAATTTAACAGAGATGATCTTGACTCTTTGAATCATTGGCAGACTGACAGATTTCACATTCTCTATATCCTGCACTTTTTTAATCTCACCCACATACATATAAAAATACCTCATCTGGAGCCGGGTGTAGTGCAAAAAGCTCCTTATGCCTATTGGACTTCCTCTGATCTTCATTGTGGTGGTCAATCTCTTCATTGGGGGTTCGGTCCAGCAGGTTTGGGAGAAGGGCATCTGGAAGGGAGTTCTTCAGATCAAAAATACTGCAAGCCCAGCTGCCCCGAGGAGTATCGTCAATCGACATTGAGCGCCGCTTAAGGTCATCCTGAGATTCAACAAATTGAAAGCAACTTACAGTGGGAAAGGGATTGCACTTTTAAAATGCAACTCTACATTAGGTTTTAGGTGGCAAGGTTTGAAAGGTGCATTACTTGTTCATCGTGGTAACTGTTGCCATCTGGAGCTTCATCAGACTCAAAGACCTGTTTGGGGAGCCCCTTTTGCCTCTCCTTCTGTTTGTCTAAAGTGTTGGGATTAAATCCAGTCCCCAGTTTGTGATACCTGAAAACAAAGCATTTCAAGAGCACTTTTAGCATTATTTTTGATCCCAAACCCAGAAGCAGAATTACAGAACAAACGCAGTATTAGCAGTGTGGATCATCTCAAAGCATGAATTGCTCTCTGCAAACAGTGTACCCACTGTAGCTGTGTAATAATCCAACAACCAGTATTCTTGTACTACAGTGTGACTTTGTTCAACTCTAAAGAAATGCTGGGTGATGTCCAAGGAATTATTATCAATGCCCAATTAAGGGCATCATAAAATGAGCAATTGTGATGCCAAGCTTAAGACAGGACAATAAGGAGAAGATGGAAGGCCAGTGGTTCTGTAGGAGCAGGAATTGGCTGGGAGCAGACAATATTAACACCATGCAAACCAAAGCACCAGCACTAGGCTGGACTGCAAGCAGCACTGAGGTTCTGAGTATGCTGGAAAACATTTGAGTTTCTGACTCCAAGTAAAATGAGCATCTTCCCAGAGAATCTTTATAAACAGAACTGGGTTCTCCAGAGCATTCCAGAGCTCAAGAGCACTTGCTAGTAAACAATCTGTCTGCTGTTGCTAACAAGATCACATCTCTTTGACTAACAAATTTTAGGATACCAAATGGCACTGTGTCTGCGTTCACACACATATGGCCTGAGCCATAGCCTCTTTACAAAACAAACTCAGTCAGTCTGACTTAAGTTAAACGAAGTCAATTTCCAAAGTAGTGCTGGGGTTGAACCTACAATCAATTGCTTATATCCTGCCCTGCTTCTACAGTTAGTACAGAAAGCTAAACAGACATGGCAGGCACATACATGTGCAAGCAGTGAGTAATGAATGGAAGGTGAAAGAAGAGGAAAGCAAAGGCATATATTCAGTCTGAATACCATTAAACTATTCACCTAATGGACAGATTTCGCTGTCCCCAAATATATTTTGGTAATGAAGAACCATAGAGAAAGATTGAAATAAAGACTATTTCCCCTGGCGTGGAGGAGAAAGAAGAATAGCACAGCAGAAGTCAAGCTCTTCTGAAGCTCGATGATCAGGATGTTGTACTCCCAAATCTGGCCAACCATTTGTAACCATCCAGTAAGAAAGACCAAGAGAAACCAGCTACCATCATCCAGTAACAGATTCCTGATCTGGTAGACAAGACAACCTTACTTGAAAAATAATTCAATTCTTTCCAGTCATGCTTTTGGGCTCCTGTTTTGCTACAACAACAACCTTCTTGTTTCTATGCAGTGCACTGCTGTGATTTTATCACAGCAAAAACTGCTAGGGATGCTTATGGAACTGCCTCTCCTCTTCCAAAGGAGCAATGCTTGGGCTGCAGCTCAGCAATCACTCAGCACAGCCTTGCCCCACTCAGACAACTCTAATGCCTTTAGCTGCATGCCTTCCTTGGCACTGACCACATCTGCACAGGACAGAAAGCTTTACTGTTTCCAACCAATCCAGTGTAGGAAACACAGCCAGGTGTTAAGAGATTCCACTAAAAGTCATTGAGAAGCTGCGAGGTATGCTTGCTGAGTGGGTCACACTACCCAAGCCTATTGTGCAGTCCTGGCTCTGCCCACAATGGCTGGGAGTTAATAAAACATCCTCTCTCAAGTTTCCTTTTTTTTTTTTTTTTGCTAAGAGGTTACAAACCACATTTTTATTAGGTCATCTTAGCACTGCAAAGCATATCTTCAGCATCCTCTGGAGCAGTGCTCTGGACAACATTAAACCAGTGAATTGTAGCAACTACTACAAGGGCAGAGCTGTAGCTGTAGTCAAGTCATTTTAAGGTGATGCACATCACATGGATCACTTATTCCTCGACAGTAGCTTCTGAAGTCATCAGACCTTCAATCATCTGAGAGAGTATGTTCAAAGTAAAGCTACTTAGAAACTTCCCAGCTAATTTGTATAAATTGGTGCATATTCTCTAAACAGTTAGCTCACTTTGTAAAGACTGTGACAGCTCAAACACTAACAGGCGTTTGTTTAAACTGTGCTCCTTCCAAATGTTTCTTTGTGAACAAACAAATGTTGCAGAATGTTGCACCTTAAGGTGCTCGCATCTGCATATGTAAACCTTACATCTTATAGGAAGGACTAAAAATGTATGAAAGGGAGCAAATGCTGACAGTTTAAATCCCTAAAGTAATTTTACATTCCTCAATATTTTAAAGGAGCTGCAGCGGATGAAAATGGCCTAGATTTTCAAAAATGCCCTAGGGGGTTTTGATGTTCATGAGATCTAATTTTCAAAACAAAAAGCATCATTTCAGTTAAAAACAAAGCATCAGTTCAGCTCAGCGAGGCAAATAAAAGCCAAGGCACACGAAAGCAGTAGCCAGGAAAACCATTTTCGAGCTTCCTCATAGCAGCTAGTCGCCCTGAAAAGAACCTGAAATATGAAATCAAGCTGACAAACGTCACAGGGAACTCACTTTCTGTTCACAATTGCCCAGTCTTCCGTGTAACTTCTCACACAGTCCCTCACGTGAGGGTCCATCTCACTGTAAAAGAATAAAGAACAACATCTTTAGAGTGGCAGACGTGCAGACATTCACTACAGGCACATCACAGACAAGAATTCCAGACTTCACCCCTGCAGATTTTCAAATGCAGAACAACTGACTCCCTTGGGCAAGGTGCTCCCCTGCCTCCTCCTACCTCTCTTCAGGAACAGCTGACACAAGCGTCCGACATTCTCGGGGGGTGTACACAACCTCAATGTCATCGGGAGGAAACTCGAGCAAGTCTCTCAAGGGCCCAGACTCGACTGCAATGGGGTGTGTGATAAGGTAATCCTCCAAATCAACCGGGTCCACTGCTTCTGTAAGCGGCACCTGTGGGAAGGCAAGCAAAGGAAGGGTCTTAAAACAAGGACAAAGAAAAGAAACCAATCCATCATTTTGCTTCTAAACCAGGTATTACATTTTACTTGCCATGTAAATGACTTTGGATTTTTTTTTTATTTTTTTTTTCAGTTGCTGGTCTGATCACAAAAGGGACCTTAATTCTGATTGAAAATGCAAAAAAAAACAAACCCTCTCACAACTTCACACAGCCTGCGGGCAGGAATTCAAAGCATGGGCTGATTTACCAGCAGCACATGAAGTCATAGAGCCCAGAAGACTAAAGCTATTTCAAATTAAGTGACTTTTCCAGGGAACACAAAACGCAACATTTCTCTGCACACTGAACAATCTCTTCTGATACTGGGGACCTTTGGGGCCCAGATTACACAGCCCAACCCGAAGCAACTCTGCTCCAACCAATACAGATCCTTAAAAAGCATCTTTTGAGGGCACAGAGCTTTCCCATGAAGCACAGGGAATGACTGAACAGTCACCCATGCAGAGGAGCAGTAGGTTTCACCAGAAGCACTGTTCCCACCATAATGCAAAAAAGTGAGCTAAAAGGGCCCTTCCTTTTAAATGCATAAGCTAGACATTGCATAACTGTGTATTTTAACATATGCATATTATATAATACATATATATTCTGATATGAGATCACCATACTATGAGGCTGCATATAAACAGGTATTAAGACAATGAAACGTTAAGAACACATGTTGAGGAACCCACTGCTGCAGCAACTGACACGTTTCCTACAATTCCCCAGCACACCCCAGTGAGGCTTCATATGAATCACAAAAGCAGAGTAAAATTCAGCAGTTTTTCTCCTGCTGCTCTTTCCAGACACCCAGATGACTTCTGCGGGACAAGGAAGTTATCTTTTATTGGAGGTTATTTTAATAAGAACACTCAGTACTCAAATTTTAAGCACGTTTCTCTAAAGCCTTGTTACCCCAACCGAAAAAGTCTACTTTTTAAACTTAGGCTGCCAAAAAGTTCTGAAATAAACTGACTTTTTATTCAAGGCAAAGACTTGGCTGGCACAGCAGTACTGAAAGAATCACTCTTGCCACAGCCAACCTCGATGAATACTGCAATTTTCTTCAAACACAGAAGGCCAAACCTTCAGCAGGAAGACGGCACAGTGCCAGTAAAGCCAGGTGAGTTAGACCAGATGACTTCATGCCAGCTGAGAATCTGAACCACACACACACACACACACACACACACAAAAAATAAATAGAACAATGCATGTCCAGAATCTCAGTACTAAGCTCTGCAACTTATGAAAAAAGCAGAAATTAATTTCATGTATTTAACTCCAACCCTGGGACCTTTTTGTGGATGTTCCATCCCTGCAGGCTGGATGTGGCTCTGAGCAGCCCGGTCTGCTGGTTGGTGACCCTGCACACAGCAGGGGGTTGGAACCAGATGAGCATTGTGATCCTTTGCAACCCAGGCCATTCTATGGTTCTATGATTTTTTTTCCCTTCTAGTCCTTTACTTGGAAATGGAGTGGAGCTGTGGGATCAGCAGAACTTTCGAAAAAACAGAAGTGTTAACTGCTTTTGCCACAGCAAAACTCACAGCAAGAATGCGTCACTGCTCTTTCCCACACAGCAGCCAACATGTCACCACCTCACACTGTTTCTTAAATGTAGATAGACCGGCTCTGCTTGGCACTGGAGGACTGACAAAACTCACAGCACGGTGTCACAGTGCACTGTTGAGGAATTGCTAGAAGTCCAGGCTTTTTTCAGGAGAGCTGCTGCGTTAAAGCAAATGGGAGCACGCAGGACTGAGCAGGGCCTGCCACAGCCGCACCACCGTTCCCACCTCACAGCACTCCACGTCTCAAATCTCACTTGCCCAACCGCAGCATGATGATGTGTCTGATGAAAGAAGACCCTAGCAGCCAATGCTCCCCCAGGACAGCAGTGCTGCGGGGCTGCGCAGGCTCCATCTGTGCTCTGGGCACCTCCAAGCCCTTCACACACCTCAGCGTTTGGCCCAAGGTTAACGCTTCCCAATGTTCCAGTTTGTCTCTTCAGATAACTATTGTACCATGAAGATGTAAACACACATAAAAGTCAAACCCAGAAGCCTGTATTAGACTTGCCATCTGTGCAGCCAGAAATACTGTCTAGCACCTGAGTAAACAGGCCAAACATAATTTCATGGCTACGAAGAGGAACTACTTCACATCAGACTATTGGCAGATAAAAGGCAAGCACATTATTTTAAGCCTTAGATATTTGTGGAGGCAGAAGTGATGAAAGAGGAGGAGGAGATAGGAAGGAAGAGGTGCACCAAAAGGTAAGTGAACCCAAATGGCATCACAGCCTTTGAGCTGAGCCACCTCTCCCCTCTAGCTTCACACTCCTGCATCCCTCCGGAGCACCAGATGAGACCAAGAACAAAACCAGCACACAAGGGGCTATTTTTGTATCTGCAACCTGGCCAAAGCCTCCGCCACCTGAACTTTTCCAACAAATCTGTCAGATGTAGCGTGCACTGAAAGAATTGGACGAGTTCAGATGAAGAGCAGGTTATCCAATCTCACCACCCTGGCCTTGTTGCTGACAGAGGAGCAGAACCTGTTTTATCTCATCCCCAGCCCCTGCCTGCCTCCACACAGCATCCAGAAAAACAAGGAGCTCAGCAGCTGACAGCCACAGCCTATGAGGACTGCGGTTCTTCTTAGTCAGCAGGACTTTGGTCTTTAACCTCACGCATCACCCTGACGTACAGCTGATCTCCAGATCATCACATCAGCAGCACATCCCACTGTCAGCTGCACGTGGGGAGGTTTAGAAATCTCTGTTGCAGAAATGTGGGGAACATGTGAAGAGTTGTAACGCTGTCCTCTTCCACAGCACTGTGTGCTGATGGGTCAGAGAGAGCAGCATCCTGACAGAGGCACACAGCCTTCCCACTGCTGCCAGGAAATGCCTTTTCCACTTGTGCTGACAGCTCCTAGGAAGCAGGAGAGGTGCTTCCTCCACGTATGGAGATTGTTTTTCATCTTTGGGCTTCCAGCTGCATGGAGACAATCTCAGTCAAGTATCTGCAAATGTGCAGTCCGCCTACCAACACACTAATGAAACCCAGGAAGGAAACACTGGAGTTCTGCCCTTAAAGAACTGCTGATGAGGCATCTTCATAGTCATTAGTAAGGCCTTCCAGAAACTGAATGTGTGCACAGGCTCTCATCATATCCCCAGCTAGGACTAGGGGATGGTTTAAACTAACAGTGAATGCCCAAGAAGGAAAGCCTACTCTCAGCATTGTGATTACTGCTCTTACAGAATAAACCTGTCAATTTTGTACAACCTGTAACTGAAGATCAATTTTTGGACAGTCTTTCAGGTAATTCCTCAACACAGTTTTTGCTCAGTCTTGATCCTATGGCAAACACTGCCACCTCACTAAGGAAGGGCTCTTCTAAGGTGACAGAAATTAACAGGGAGAAAGAGGATCCTCAGCACGAGTTAGTGGGGCACAGTGTGCTCCCTTACCAACATAACCACCAGGTACAACACACCAATGAACTGATAGTACAGAACAAATCCAACAGGACACCCATTTTTTAAACAATCCATTCACGCCGAATCAAACACCGCTTGCAAGTCATGATTCTGCATACATCCTTAATCTGACCATGGATCCACACTCAGTCAGCTTAACCAAGATGCCATCCTCATTGATTTGCCTTATACAAGCTGTTTAGCACGTGTAATCCATAGGTGCATCTGTGCTGCTGCAGTTATGGCTCTCAGACGTTGCATTACAAAACCCTATTTCACAGGTTTATAACTCTCCTGAAACAGGGACAGTCAAGCTTTCTTCTTTAAGGCTGTGTTATTCTTCACTGTTATATCCTCTTAAAAGCCCGAAAATAAACTTTCGTTTCTTATCGACTTTGTCCTTTTCTAGACAGTAAACACAGTATTTTGCTGTAGTTTTAGTGCACCACTAGCCAAAATGTCTCTCCCTCCTATTTATTTCCTTTTCTGAGCACCTGTATCATCATCATCAGTTACAGAACAAGCATCTGCTCAAATCTGGCAACAGGGGCATGAACATCAGCTGAAGGACAAGGTATAGCCCCGTGGAGACAGCAAAAACTCTCTCTTGCTTCAGCCAAGCAGCTCACCCATGAGCTGCAGGGGCAAAGGGCTGACGCAGGAGGAATGCTGCACACAGGGCACCACGCTGCAACGCCCACAGCCTGTTCTACCCCATCAAGGAAGCAAAACTAGAAAGCAAAGGGCAGAGGCACACTGTGATGTTGGCCTTGTACAAGTGGCAGGGATGGGGTCAGCAGCAGCTGGTGCACATGGAGAGAGCAGAGCAATCAGAAATGTGCACAAGGCAATTCCAGGGACAGCGGGGCTGCCTCGCTATCACAGCCATGAACAGGCAGTGGGTATGCTCTCCATAGATCCACTTCTCCATCAGGTTTAAGAAATGACCAAAGACGGATTTAATTAGGATGCCATTCATTACCCATCATTACGTGCCCTTGTCTGAACAACCTCCTGCCCCAGTTTGCTTCCTTCATGAAGCAATTCATTAATCTAAACTAGTATCTAAAATGTAAAGGTCTGTTGTTCTGGACAGTGTACAGAAGCCCAATAAGGGATCACAGCAGCAAAGAGGGCAGAAAAAGGGACAATTATTATCTCCATCTCACAGACACTGACTTTGAACACAGAGAACACCCAGTGTACATCACTGCTGCATGCCCTGACATCCACAGGCATTCTGACTTTTGCCTATGGGACTTTAATCTGTCCTCTTCCTCCACAAGCAGCTGTGCAGAGGGGATATTTCTAGATCTATTTGAAAGTTTGTTGCCTAGCTCACACACAGTACAGAGCACCACAAGTACTCTGGAGGGACACGTGGCCTAAGCAACACAGACCTACAAGCTAGGATCCCGCAGATTTCCTGCTAGCATACATCAGCACAGCCACGAAAAT